TCTCCTTCCCTGGAGATATTCAAGAGCCATCCAGTCACAACCGGAAGCAATATGCTCCAGGTGACCGACTGCAGCTGGGAGGTTGGAGTAGATGGTGTATGGTGGTGCCTTCCAACGATTCTGTGATTACGTGATTCTTTAAAGAATTTCAAACAGTAAAAATGACATTTATTTGGTTTCAGTACTCATTTTCTTTGTACCATCATTCCTTGACAGCACTTCAAAGTCTTTTTCAATGTTTTGGTCATCAGCAGACAGCTTACCATGACAGCATGGAAGCAGCATATTTGATTGATAGGAAAACCCCCAGACTTGGGTTTAAGACTTCAATAAAGAAAAGAACCAACCTCTGTATCAGAAATTACCCTCAGCTAAAAACATCTATTTCTGTATTATTCCATGCACAGAGCTTTGAATGCAAAAAACCTCTGGTGTTCTGATAAACCTCTATGCTGCTGAAATCCATTTAGTTTTACATCATGGTAATTGGTTATACAATACTATAAACACCAGTACCTACAAGAAATTTGGAAAGGACCTTTTTGGAAGGGCATACAGGGATAGGACAAGGGGGAATGTCTTTAAACTGAAATAGGGAAGATTTAAATTAGGCATTAGGAAGAAGTATTCACTGTGAGGGTGCTGAGACACTGGTGCAGGTTGCCCAGAAAAGCTGTGACTGCCCCATCCCTGGCAGTGTTCAAGGCCAGGTTGGATGGGGCTTTGAGCAACTGGGACCAGTGGAAGGTATCCCTGCTGATGGCAGGAGGGTTGGAACTAGAGGATCTTTAGAAGTCCCTTCCAGCCCAAACCATTTTATGATCCTATGGTAATAAATATCACAGCAACCACACAGCCTGTTCAAAGCAACATCTATTTGAAAAAACAGCAAGCAAAGTAAACTGACCAGATTCTTGCTGTCCTGTTTGTGAATAGTGACAATTCTTCTCTCACTGGAGCCTTCTTGGCTTGCTTGTTTAATGCTGACATCAATAATATCAGGAAAATCACAGTATGTTTGTAAATCCTGCAATAAATATTGGTTATACAATGTCAGTCATAACATGAAATGCAACTAAAACCCCACCTATTTTCAGCAAATTCCTACATCTCTGAAGTTGGAAGCTTCCATCAAAGAACAGTAAATCCTTAAATATGCCGTTACAGATAAAGAAAGCATTTTTTTCATTTACAGGACCATCACTAGGAGCATCAATTAAAAAAATGCACAAAGATCCAGGAACTGTGAATGGAAATATCCATATATGGGTGGGTTTGTTTTATTTGGGTGTTGGGTTTTTTGTTTGGTTGGTTTTGTTTGTTTGTGGTTTGGTTTGTTTGGTTTTTTAAATTGTAGATATTTCTATTTGCTCTGTAGTATTTTGTGAGGATTAACAATTGAAATTGAGAACTCATTATTAGCATCCTGATTAAAGAGGTATACAAAGCCTACTAACAATCCAAAATGTCATGCCTTTGTTCAGAGTGATAAAAGCTGCAAAATCTGCTACCAAAGAGATGGATGTAGTCTGAATGAAGAAAGGGTACAGCCATGGTCATCACTGACTAGGTAACTTGAAGCACTGATCCTAATTATATGTGAAATCCAAAACATACTTTCCTTTGATAGCAAGTTCAGGTAGTTTTTATACTATACTATTTTGTACCACTTCCTTCAGTCTTTCACAAGTCAAATTACAATGTCATATAAAGCACACTTCGTTTTGCTTTCAGTAGTACTTCAGGTGCTAAGTAAAATCCTTAAATAAAGGTAGATTTATCTATTTAAAACTATTTTCCAAAGCAAATATATTTTATTCAAGTCAGAATACCCCATTTATATGGCTGCAAGCATACCCTAATAAACAGGTGTAATAATCAAGGCTGTAAGACTCAGTGGGTATCAGCTAAAATAAATAAGCTCAAATGCACTGAAGTCCCTGAAGCACTGTTTGTTCATCTGATGGTTGGAAATGTGAACTGGCAAAACAAATATCTTCACAATCTAACCCCACATGTATCATTCCCGCCTTCAAAAAAACAAAAATTTTGTTTCAATTCAGTATCTTAATAAAGATTCATCAGTACAGTTTGCTGAAACCAGAGTTATGACCACATTTACAAACAGCCATTTACTAAGTTTCCATAACTAAATTTATAAACCGTTTCTGTACCAGAGAAAATATATGCAGCCTACACTGTGTCTGTCAGTAAGTGTGATGATAACAGTACTATGAAAAAATAATTTGGCAATCTTTACAGGAAATACGATCAGTTTAAACACTACTAAAAGCTTGAGTGCAAGGCCCAAACAGCATAGTATGCACAAATTTTGTACACCTAACCGAGAAATTGCAATATCATTTTATGTTAGCTCCTGCCAGAGCAACTGGTACTTACAGGCAGATTAGGAAAGGCAGAGGCCTGATACATGACAGTTACGAATGAAGTAACTAGACTTAATGTGAATCTACAAATATTCTAAGAACACACTTAAAACCAGGGTATGTAACCAGACTTTCTTTTTTTGGTAAATATTAAAAAAAAAACCAAAATAGTTTTACAAATTATTACAGCACACTGTAAGAATACAACCTTTTGTAGACTGGTCTTGACTGCTACGTATTATGCATCAAAACTAAGAACCTAATGGATGGAATTATTTTGGAAAACTGACATGTGCTCCACTTTGGCTCTAATTCTACTTCTGGAAAATCCCCACATTCTCAGTGTATACTGCTGTAAGTTTCTATCAAATTCTGGTAAATGTGACAAAACAAAGAGTTATCCTGGGAAATCACACAGAAAAGAAATAATATTGAAAAATAAAAATGCAACAGCACATGCTTACTAGCACTTACTGGAACCATTTAGCATCTAATTCCCAAACAAAGAGTATATGGACCCTGCAGTCACAGAAATATCACTTTAAATTTATGAGCTCCAACATTGATAGAAGTCTGAGTATAGTGAAATCTACCTGGTTTTGGAGTCCTTAAAACACTGCAAAGAGAATTTGAGGTATTTGTACATTTTACCTACAACTGGGGGCAGGGTCATTACTTTTCCACATTGATTTTTTTACAGTAATGAAGGTCTAACACAGCAGCTCTCATTTCTCAAGCACAGAAGTATTACATGTTCAAGTACTGGCTTTCTTCTAATACTTCAACAAAAAAATAATTTTAGAATTCTGAACTGTTTAAGTCAATACATTTCTGTCATCCTCAGCCATACAGAAATGATATGAACACTGTGAAGTAAAATTTACCTACCAAATTTACCTAGGGTAAAATCAGAACTTCTAACATAAGCTAATCACTGTTACATGATAAACTGCACAATTATTAAAATAATAACAGAAATTACCTGCTCTGCCAGTGTCTCATGGTCTTTAAGTTTTCCTCTTGAGCACTGAATTCCACCATTTCCAGTTATTACAATGGTTGCAAAACTTTCCTCTCCAGAAGGATCTCCACCAGGTTCCTTTACTTCAAAAACCTCTGAATAGAAGGCAGACTGAAGGGTTTCCAGATTTATAAGATACTTAAGTTTCAAGTTTCTGGCAGTAGCTTTGCATTGGCCAAACTGTTGTATAAATTTGCGGAACCTGTACCTTATTCTTTTTCGCGTCAAAATGTGGTAGTCTTGGATTTTTGCTCGCACACATTTAGGCAAAAACATTTTGTAGCTGTGAATACATAACCAGCAAAAAAATCTACTAATTTTATCCATTAAATCCAGCAATGATAATTTAGTTCTGTGATAAACAAGTCATCATGAAAATAGTTTTCCCTCTAAATGTAACCTTATTTTTTAAACTGTAGGATAATAAGGATCCTTTCTTCAATCTTTAGTATGTTATTTCAGATACAGCCCTGTCTCTTCTTCAATTTTCCATATTTTCCCCCATCACTCAGTTCAACATATATTACATAATGCATTTTCCATAAATCCAGACACATCTTTTATAGTCATTACTGAAGTTTTGAGCTAAGGCAGCAGAAGTTAAACAGTCGCTTTGTTTGGTGTAGAAGTTGGAAGAGGATACTGCCGAGGTAGAGGCAACTACATCGATAAAGAACAGATTTTCTGACTGAAAATGTAAGTGGTAAAATACAACACTGTGGCTGGTTCTCACTGAAGTTCCTATATCTCAGTCCATATTCTCTATCAGGGGGCAAAACAGTAAGCTGGACAATTTGTTGTCGCATTCTTTTTTACTCCTTCTGCTAGCTTTCATTAAAAGACAAACATTAAGCATTAAGATTAAGCAAGGACAGAATTAACGCAGATGAGTAGAAACCAATTAGGTTGATAAACCAATGGGAATTGATAAACTCATTCAAGTGTAGCAGAGATCAGCCCAAGACGCTTAAGAGCCTGCAGCTCATGGCATGACAGAAGAGGCACAAGAGAGCTAAGAGAGCTTGGTTTGTTCACCTTGGAGAAAAGAAGGCTCAAGTAAGGTGTTCTACTGTTTGTCTTCAACTAACAGATGGATATGGAACAGACTGAATTAGACCACTCAGACATGCACAGTGAAAGGACACAAGGCTACAGAGGATCATTGGTATCACAGAGAAGACTGATTAGATACAGAGAAAATCCTCCCCAGTGAGGCTGATAGTACAAAGGACAAAGCTAGACACAGACATGGTGGAATCTCCACCCCTGAACATTTTCAGAACTTGAATGGACAACATCCTGAGTAACTTCACCTAACTTTGGAGTTGGTCATGATCTGAACAGGGGGTTGGATCCAGACCAGAGGTCTCTCCCAACACAAATTACTACGTACATTTAAGTAGCTGCTGCCTTACCTCTCATTGAGAACCAAATCCATGTACCCAAAACCACAAATGGCCACTGTGATACAATCTTTCTAATAATTTCTAGCTTACACTACAGCTAAATTTACGGAGTTAGTATGCTAGAATAAATCAATTGCCAACAGCTGAACATCCACACCCAGATGCTAATGTGCAAAAACTTTGGGTTTAGATATCAGACTGGTGTAATACAATTACGAAGTTTGGAGTCACCTGACTGAATTGTAAATAGCCAGTGGGGTTTGGTCCTTTTCTTTTGCCACTCTCATCATATCCAGAACAGCCATTCCAAGGCATTCTTCTTGTGTTTCGTGAGTAACAGGCATCTGTACCCATCCGTCCAAAAAATCAGCTCGCCACTGAGAAAGAAGAATGCAAGAATGCAAGTTAAAACTGTAGCACTGCTGCTCATGAAAAGTGGGTTTTGGAGTGTAGTTTTGTTTGTGGGTTTTTTTGTTTATTTGTTTGGTTTGGTGTTTTGGGAAGTTTGGTTTGTTGATTTTTTTTAAGACTGCACTCTCCTGAATGAATCCCTTCACCCACAAAAAGCTGCACATGTTCATAACGGATACCAGCTACCATCATGCTTAGAAAGACTGTTTTCAAAATCTTTTCGTTTCAAATCTTGAAAAGGCCAATGTGAGGATGATGCTTTTCTACACTGTGTCAGTCCAAAATGAAAATGGAAATCACACTGAAAAACTAGACAGTGGCACAAGAAAGTAGCTATTCGCTCTCACTCTTCTCCCCACAACTGCCATTTGAATTTCATCTCTTCAAATATACGGTATGACATGGCAGTTTTCATTTTAAGAGGGCTTCAAGCTGTCAAAACCACCCACATATTTACTATCAGAATACATGAAAGGGGATAAATACTAACAATATTTACCAACCTGCATTACAAAAATAATCAAGGAAATCATACCTGTGCAAATAGGTAAGACATGACAAGATCATCAAGAACAGGGCTTTCTGCACCACGAAGAATGCCGTACCGATATGCTCTGCTGGTGCCATTGCAATACCAGTGGGGAAAATAAAACCTGTTATGGAATATTTATGTAAACATCAATAACCAGATACTTCTGCTTACCAACACCAGACATAATCACTCTCATAGACATGTAATTAGTGCTGGCGGCTTTGGAGGACCTGTATGAAGCCCCAGCTACTCAATGGAAGGCTTTGGATACAGTTTCTGGTGTCTTAAAGTACCACGGCATTTAAGCAGGGTGACGAGCTGTACTGGTAAGAATAAGGAGCTCTGCAAAGCTATGGTCACTAATCTGAATATAGGGAATTCTGTGTTACTGTCTTCTAGTTCCCTTTGAGACAGCTCCTAAAGAAACACTGAAGGCCACATTATGCTATGTCAAGTAAACAAAATCTTCTACATAAGGAGAACTGCATCTGTAGCTTCGGATGTTAGAAAAAGGTTACAGAAAAATTATTCTATTGCAGACATCTGCCTGACTACACAGGATAATTGCTCTGCATTGCAGAATTTCTAACAGGCCATCACAGAGGAGATGAAATGTATCATTAAGAAAAATAATATTTTTATATCTGCTGTATTTTTTGGGTTTTTTCAATCTGACATGGCAAACATATAGTATATAGGCAATCAATTAAATACATTATTCAAACCTACTTCAATAATTTTGAGTCTTTTATCTATCTCTTATCCAGATTATTATCAGCAATCTCACCAACAACCTGTCCGCAACCTCTTGGAGAAATTACGGTTCAACTAAATATCTTACTGGTTGTGTTTCTCACAGTGTCTTGTTTTACCATGAAAAGTGCATAACATTTGATTTCGATTACCTTATACGGTAAATTAGGGTGAGTCTCGTGGCTTCATCTACATGGAAGATGTGATTTGGGGGATACCACATTCTCTCTGTTTCACTCATGAGTGCAAACATGTTATGATACACTGGCATGATACCTAAACAAAAAACAGAGAAGCAAACATAGGAAACTCCCTTCAAAAACAATCAACTTTATATAAATAGATAGATAGATAGATGGATAAATAAAGGGTGTATGTTCTCCAGCTATTCACTGCACTAGTCCATCACTGTCAACAGCATTGTAATCATCCTGCAGACTGTTTTTGCTGGTTTGCTTTCTCATTCTTCCTTTAAGTTCTCTGTAGATTCTGTACACCTGTTATCCTATACCTCATTGTTAGGTTACAGGATTTTCTCTGTATGGCATCTATATGATGGCTTCTTTGCCTCTCAGATTAGTCAGCTAAGAACAGCACATCGCCTTTTTCCTAAACCAGATCTAGGCACTGATTTTAAGATTTTAGACTGATGAAAAATTAGAAATAAAACAACACAAAGAAAGTCACTGTGACTAGGACAACCACCTTCCATTTATATTTCAGTAGCTCAGTTGAGACCAAAACCAAACATATATTGTTAATTAAAATTGGAAAATATCTTTTTTTCCATCTCAACAATTTGATTGTTTTGATAAGGATCCTATTTAATCACAAACTAATGGAAATCAGTTGAGAACTGACTCTTCAGCAGCATGAGAATTTTAATTTGGCTTTTCTGGCTCCCAGCTGAAACTACAGCCTAATGTAAGGCAGATGCTGCAGCACTGTACTATGCGATGCTAGTGCTATGATTTGGAAAACCATTTAAATACCTGTGAACTCAAAGCACAAAAGGATGACTTCAACTACTGACAAACATTTTGAAGACATGAAGATATACAGGTCTAGAGGTCAGAGAGCAGGATGAAAATTGCAGTGTGAAAGTCATAGTAGGTCAAAATGAAAGAAAACTACATTTACATCACAGACAAAAAAATACCGAAAAAAGACCCAGACAAAGACAACAAAAGTAACTTAAGACACATTAAGAGGCAAAAGAATTCTGGGAAAAGGCAAAGTACCCATGACCCTGCTCAAAGACTTAGAATGAAATCATTGAAATTCGCACAAGAAACCTGCAAGGGAAAAAAAAAAAAAAACACCACCAGCCTCATTTCTTTATTTCTATTCTGAACACCTACCAAAAGGGGCAGATCCAAATTTCTTTCATCACATCTGAAGTGCATGTAAGACAGTCAGTTAGAAACAACTAATCAGTGCCACATATAAAACTGCATAAGCTTGTGGAACAGAAAGTAATTCAGTCTTGAATAACAACTAGCTTAAATTCTTTACAAAAAGGGGTTTGTCTCTGTAGGGAGCCATTAAAGAGGGCTAAGAACAAGAGGTCTATTGTACAGATGTCAGGTTAAAGTGCTGAAATCTACAAGCTTATCATCTGATACTTGTTTAAACTAAAGCTTGCCGAAATATTCCAGAACTACAGGTCCTAACACATGACTTTCTATGAAAAGGAGTCAGACTTACAGGAAAATGCAGAAATGGAAAAGTTTAAAGTAACAGAACAGAAACCAAAACTAAACAAAACCCCCAAAGGAATAACCCTGAGGTGATTAAGTAATTGAAGAATTAGCTGTAAATGTAGATGTTGCAACTTTATGGTGCAGTAGAACGTATTTGATCCATCAGAGTTGGAAGACATACTAAATTAACTCAATTTTACGGAGTTAAAAAGAAATCTATACTATGCAACCAAACATGGTTGTCATTTGATGTGTGAAGTGATCATATCTGGATCAACTAGATTACATTGAAGATCAGCTGTCTATAAAGCAGTAAAAACTGACCTTGCAGATTTAAGGCTGTATGGTTTCTGCATCCCAAATAATTTCAGATCAATTATAGAGCAATGCATGTGAATCATCAGCCTATTTCAGGATTCTAGCCAGATGCTAAACACCATTCAAGACAATGCTGAGTATTTACCTAGTCTTATTAACGCATTTCCCCTATTAACAATTCCACATAAGCATACTGAAGAAGAACAAAATTTCAAGTCATATTCTTAAATTCAAATGTTAAGCTGCCATATTTCACAAAATACATTACAGACATAACCACCCAACCTCTAAAAAAACCTGAGCAAAACCAAAGAAACCCATAGATTTTTCAATCCAGATCACATCATTGCTATTCTGAAACTTCAACTGAGTGAAGAACCTGACTTTGGAATTCCTCCTGAAAATCAGAAATTTTGGGATTAAAAAAAAAAATAATCCAAAAAGTCTGTTTCACTGTCTTACGTGTGAAGAGCAAACTGTGCACTCATCTATCCGTCACATTTTAAAATTTATTATTCTGAATGGTGACTTGTACTTTCCATTGCCAGTGCTCAGTGACATAGAGATTACACATGTTTTTCAAGAAAAGTAGTATATTTTTGTTCTTCTCTTTTTCTCCTCTTAAGAATTAGGCATTTGTGCCAGAATATTGATGCACTTGAAAAAGTTCAAGGATTATACAAGTAAAGCAAACCCCCTTTGCTTTACCAAAGCAAAGGTTTATCTTTGCTTGAAAGTGCTCCACAAAAATCAGACAAAAGCAGAGGCACTAAAAATTCTTATTTCATGTAAATCTCACCAGCATTATTAATTGCAGGGACTTTTCAAGCAAAAGGTAATTTCAGTATTTAAGTGTTTTCTCCAGAAACAATGAAAACCAAAAGACTGGGGGTGGATGTGGAGGTGGGGAATCAAAGTCTTCTGATGAAGCCTAGACATGTCAACAGTAGTGAAAAGTTCTGAGAAATGTATTTTCAACACATGTAGAATCAGAAAAGCTGTTCACAATAGGTACTAAAAAAACTCCCCCGGATTTCTGCCCTGCACTAGCCATGCTATCAAATAAATCAGTGATCAATTAGGAGAGAAGACAGTGACTCAGACATACTAAAGCAGAACTGTTCTCCACTTCAACTTCTCCAGCAAGGGCTATTAAATAAACTTTCTGGACTATTGCAAAGGTGTAAACATGACTATCTCTTGGCACGTACTTTATTTTGTATATAAGGTGAAGTAAAGGAGCCTCACAGTACTATACAGACTGCCAAGTAACATCATGCAAGGCTGTAAGGCAGAAGAATTTTAGTCCTCAAACTTCTACCTTAAGCCTAAAAAAAGAATTATTTGCATAGTAGTTTCTTCCTTTCCGCATTATGATTTTAGATGTCCACATTCAGACAAGTCACACTACTACATTTACCAGGGTAAGCTGCTAAGGAAATACAGTTTTTCTCTATTTCCTCCTTTGCTGGCATTAGGTACCCTTTCACCCATATAGTATGTTTTCATTAGGCAACATCCTTCTGTAAAGAAAACTTAAAACCCAGAAACTGTGAATCACAAAAGCCATGACATCACTATGAAATGTGGAAGCCACATGCAGTCTACAGTAGAAATACTTCTTACTAAACTGTTAATTCAAGCATATAGTAAGTCACTAGACATATACAGATGAAAGCAATTAGCTGCATGGAGTTAATGAGTAAAGACAATTTTTAAAAATTCTCCGATTTTTAAAGTCCAATACAAATATCAGTCAGTTCTCACACAACTGTCAAGTAAACTATCTAAAACTTAGAAAGTCTTGTACAGAGCAGATGGAAAATTGCTTAGCTTTTCTTACAAAAAAATAGTATCTTGCCCTATCTGTCACGCAAACTGGAGGCTTACCAAACTCTGGCACCACATTCACAGTCTCTATCCTGTCAGCAAAATGTTTTCTGAACAGTTAATCAAAGGACAGGTTTCCTTTCCTGGCAAAACAGAACTGCTCAAGCGTTCATCCCTCACCGTGGGGGGCTGGGGCGCAGGAGGGTACGGGTGGCATGGCGTGCGACTGCGGATTTTCAATAAAGACTAACACTTCAGAAAAGAGAAAAAAACCCAAACAACAACACAACACCCCACCCCCAACCCCAAAATCCCCAAACCCAAAAATCCCCCAAAACCTACAGTGGGGAGAGTTATAATCACAGATAATTCTGAGACATGTGAATTGGGGCAATTCAGCATGTTAAGGACAAATATGTCTAAAACTATCTAGCTACTAAGAAGCAACCTCAGGTACTGAGCCATACAAGCAAAAAGTACTGCATACCATCATATTATGTAACAGTCACTTCCTTGAGTTTAACTGACTGCAGACACTGCCACTGTTTAGTCACATTAAATGTTTTGAAACAGTACTTTTACTTCAGCATAATCAAAGATTCTCTGCTATCTTACGGGCTTCCAGGAGGCACCAGCAGTGTTCAAGGAAGTACAAGGGAACTTCCAATCTATTTGCAACTTAGATGGGTGAGAATTAAAACGTTCCTAGGTGGAGGTTCAGGATACCAACATTAAAAACCAAAATAAAACAAAATAAACAGAACCAAACACAAAAGTCAAGAAATTCAATGGTTTAACTGTCTGTAACTTAGCAACCCACTCAGGATTATCAAACTGGTTCCCTCTTGGGATTCTAGCTCCTTTGAAGTTAATATTTCAACGGTTTAACGATCCTAACATAAGGGGAAATCAGAACAAATAAATTCAGATATACCCTACAGAAATTTAGGTTCCTATACGCTAGCAGGACAGGCCATAGCAGAAATGCAATACGCTAACCAAAACTATGCTGCTTCAACTTCACCAAAACGTTTTGCAGCTTGCTATTAAAACGTTAAAGTCACTAGCTCTGCATACTTTGCTACTAATTTATTAAGATTTTCAAGAACATGGCATAAATTTAAACCTGCAGCCATTTCAGCCTTTTCCACCAATTTAGAAAAAAATGTAGTTATAAATTCCATTGAGAAAAAAGGTGGTATAATATTGCCATAGTAGCTGCCAGGCACAAATTACTCTTCAGAGGACTCTGTCTACCTCAGCTCTACAAGGACAAAGGCTCAAAATGATAAAACATTTTATATATACAAGCAAGTATAAATCACTGGTGATATATTTCAGAAACTCTGCTGAAGAATGCTGAAACAATAGCAAAATACAAAACCAACTTGTGCTATTCACACAAATTAGTTTTAGCATTTGTATTAGCTATACCAGCAAAACAGTAACTGGACCCCAGAAAGCTAGAATCCTTGAGAAGCACTGGTGAGGTCCTACAAAACAAGCAATATAGTATAAAGTCTTCAGATGATGTCATGGGAAACAAGACTAATTGGATTTGTGGATAAGCAGGAATTGGGTTTTACATGTTTGTTATGTGTGTGATACATGGCTCAGGCCCTTTTTCTTTTCTTCAACTGGAGGAAAGAGACTATGGAACCTTGGGGATACAGTGGAAGATACCAGAAAGATCTTCATTCAAATCACCATCAGAAAGATATCTTAACTTCAAGAACACTCCCAGGTCAATCTGTCAAACTCAGACCTCAGAACCTGAAAATTCTGAATACCACACTATTTCCTCATGATCTCCAAGAATGAATCCTGGGCAGTGCTTCTGCTGAACTCACTGTATGTACTTATCTGCCTAAAGCTGCCATGTTACATGAACAGCAACTCACATATTCAAATCTTAGTCAGACTCTGCCATGCCTGAAGATCTCCAAAGAACAATGGGGCTTAAACCTAGGAGAATGTCTGTGAAACTACCAATTCACAGCGTGAAACTCAGTCACTACAAAACATTCAACACACAGAAAAAACTGACAGATCCCCGCCAAAAGTAGTCATTTAAAGCATATTTAAAAACAGCATAGCAAAACTCCCCCAAAATAGCAAGTGTAAGGAGTTTCAAGATAATAAAATATACAGACTCAGCAGCTTCATACTTGTAATCCAGTATAAAAGAAAGATTCGGAATTACAAGCCTTTCTTTTAAATTCATTTGCACCTGAAATGTGGCACTTGGAAAGTTGAAAGACAAATCTAGTCTTGTACCACTGACAGCCCAAAAAAGACATAAAGATATGTGTACACATATGTGTTCACATTTGCATGAGAAACAAGAAGACAGTCACTTTAAAATCCAAAGTTTATTGGAATTAATTTTTTATTCACAAATTCAATGTACTTTTGCAACGAAAGAAAGATGCATGCACAAAATGCATGCTTGAAGTATTTTTACTCTGGGTCTCAGCACATGCTCATGTTAATCTCTGAGTATATGTAACAATTCTAAGGCATTCTTACATATAAACATGATTATTTATTTCAAATATATCGTCCTGTCATTTACTCACTTTGTTTTCAAACAGTTACACATAAGCAGTCATATCTAATAGAACAGTTTCCATGTGCAAAGTGATTAAACATGTATAACATACAATAAATGCATAATTTCCAGGGCCAATCTGTTTTGTAGGGTTGCATCAGAAAGCAATTCAAATTATTTCCAGCTCCTGCTGTGATTTAACTATCCAAACTATATGTCAGTTAAATGAAAGAAGACTTCAAGGTAAAGGATAGTATACTCTCAAATTATTTCAAAAATACATCAATTACACAATTATAATCTCAGTGTTACAACCTCTCCAACAGGAACAGTTTGCAACCTGGTGGTAATTACTTCTGGAAGAACAAAGAGGTTAGCATTTCAGTTAAAATGCCACCACTTTAATGGGCTCTGGATTATTAAAAACTTTCTTGCATTAAGTTAGATTTCACTCCCTCATTAGGAAAACTGTTACGTATATACTTACCACAGGCTTTACAGGCAACAGCACAGATGTCTTCTGCAACATATTCTCCAGCTGGAAATTGAAGGTAATCTCCTCCTGTCTTCCCAGGAGAATGATAAAGGTATACTTGAAGCAATGGTTCTGTCTGCTTGGGTGCACTGCTATTCCCATGGATGTCACCATTCTGACGGGCAGTAGAAGTTTCTGTACCTTCCATATTTGTCATTGTAAGACAGGCCATTGTTCGGTTTGGTTCTGTTCAGAGCATTTGCCTAAAGGAAATGTAAGGCATAGTTCTTCACTAACTGTATTCGGGTTTGCTTGTAATATTCCTATTTAATGACAGTACTGTTCTGACACAGGAAGGACATTAACAGTTGAGGATAAGAGAATAGCTTAGAAGGTTTACTAAACGTTAAGTTTCTCTTTGATTTACTATGTAGCTCTAGTTTGAAAAACAGAAGACATTATGACACGAAAACCAAAGATACTAGCTGGGAGTCCCATTAGAGGATTTATTACCTCGCACTGGATTCTAGACACTAAGTGCTTACCTGTCCAGTTGAAACATGCTGGTTAAATCTGAAAACTAAAGTAATCCCTATAATGACATATGTACCACATGTAACAATGTGTAACAGAATCTGGATGGAATATAAACATCTTGATTTGGAGATCAAGTCTATTAACTATAAAAGATCTGATTCTGGTACAGATGAACAGAGGATTTGATCTAACAGGATTATTTTAATGTTCCTAATCTGGACAATATTTCAAGTCACAGCTTCTATAGGATGAGATGAACTCTTCCCTGTCTTGCTCTAACTGCCATCACCAGTACCTACAATGCAACAAGTTTACATGCAACCCTCTGTTGCTGTCTGTACCTCTCTAGTGCACCTGAGGGTTAATTTTACCAGCCACATGGTTAATTTTACCAGCCACACAAGACTGCACTAATTCATATGGTTCTTTTTAAGTCAACCAGGAAGAAACTGATTAATGAGATTGAAACCCACCATTTATGCAAGAAATTTCATTATAATGTGGAGGACATGCACAGTCCTCATGATGTAATATGGAGCACTCATGGCCCCTCAGAACATTTTCTTTATTCGAATCATGGGGTCCACAGCTTTGCAAAATCTAAACTCTTTGATACAAATAATCCTCCTGCCCTGCAGCATACGCTTTCTTGGAGGGAGGGGTGTGTTGTGAGTTTCTAGGGAAACCTCCAGGGCTAGGATCTTAAACTATACCACTTCAAACACCTGATTTTTAAATTAAACATCTAATTTTTAAACTAAATTTGGGAGGTTCAAATACCAGAGCAATCTCACACTACAGATAAATCCCCAACTGTTAATTACCTTTTATCACTTGAGAAATCTCTGAATGAAACATGAGAGTGATGAAGCTCTTTAAATAAGCATGTAATAAGTCACTCACTCACTGCTGGTATCCGCAGGAGCTCAGACAAAGCAGGCGCATGAGCAGTGGTGGAACATAATGTCTCTGCAGTAAAAACACATATTTAATATTAGAAAAGTTAATGGCTGTGAACAATATACAACGCACTGTTGTTTAAGAGTTTAAATTTGTGTTTGTGTGATCCACCCCAATCTCATTTGCCCAAATCCCCTCATCTTTGCCAAGAACTTCTTAAATCTAGGGGGTTTTAATTACAAAGTTTAAAAAAACCAAACCCAACGTTTTTAAAAAATGCATTTTTGGTACTGAGACTGCTTCTCAGTTCTAGCAAGAAGCTGGTGTATGAAATCCATTCCGAAATATAGTTACCAATTCATTTTTTTCTTCAGTCACCATGTTTTTCTTTTCTGTGAATACAGCATCCATTTAAGAAAACTGTTGATGGCATTACATGAAGAAAAGAGAAATGGAGAGGTAATTACAAAAGGAGACAATGGTGTGTTCACTTTCTGTAGTAACACTCCCTTTAGGCAGAATAATTAAATTATATTTGAACACCACTCATTTAAATTCATGTGGAAGTTAACACCAACTGTCTTGCAGCAGGAAGGCCAGCGCACTCCCCCCTTGCTCTCCTTGCACAACATTTCCGTGGTTTCAAGAAACATCACTTGAAAGTACTTAAGCGTAACAGCAACTTCCTGCACCAGTGAAAAAATGATACATTCCCTGTTGGGACCCTCCCAGTGTAGAAGAGGCCCTGATAGAGAAGCAAAAACGCATTTTAAAACTAAATAAAGGGGGGAAAGTTACAACTGAAGTTCAAAGGGGGCAGAATTCAAACTAGGAGGACTTTGCAAGCTTTGTATTTGATGACTCTTCAAACAGAAATCTCCCTGGACAGGACACAGGAGAAGGAAATCAACACAATTTCCTCAGCTCAACGCTGTGTCTACTGAGTCTATCATCAATACCCTAAGAAAAAGGAACCTATCTCAACAAGCAGTAAATTCAGCTTCTCTCAGAAGTCAGGCTGTTATGGCAACGATCAGCTTTTCTTTCCCTGCAATGCTGGCTATGGAAATAAGCAGTTTTGCCTTGTTTGGGCAGCTGTATAGGGTATTTTGTATACATCTCCAGGGATTTTCCTTCAAATGCTGTCTAGCCAGCTAATTAAGATCTGATCCAAAGTCCAGTACAATCAATTCAAATTTTCCAGACATGTATTAAAGTGCCAGAGGAGAAACAGGGGGTTGTCTGAGGCAGAGCAGTCTATCACTGACCTACTGAGCACACATTCCATGCACACTGATCTGAGAGCTTCAGATCAAACAAAGCACAGAACCACCATCTGCTCGCGCAGGTTTCAGATCAAGAGGCATTGCTATGTACTGTAAATTGTTTTCCATTTTTAAAGTACTGTTCCATGCCCAGAACTGCCTTGCAGTCATCATTCCCAGACAGGTTCTTGACTTTGAGTGAAGCTGCATGAAGATTTACCTCACTGTAGTTAATTATGCAGTTTTAAAAAAAAAACTCAGGATCAACTGCATAGCATCATTGGCTGTATGAGACAGCTACCAATGAACTAATGGAACAAACCACCTTAAGAACTCAAGGCACTTCTACTCTCTGACTAGCATTTTGAATAAGCTCGGTGACACTGCAGCTTGCATTTTCAAACACAAAAATTGGATAAAGCAGCCTAATACCAAGCCTATCCTTCTTCGCATGACAAACAGAAAAATGGTTGCTTGCTTACGAAAGAGCAGCTCATAGCTCTGGTCAAAAAGCATAGAAATTTGGAGATGAAAAACTCAAGCCAAACAAGCTCACAGTGGTTATCCTAATATATTTTTCTTTTTTTCTAGTCAACCACTTTTTCTTCTGCACATATTTACAGACATACCTATTTATAGGATCCGCATCAAGACCTTATAAAACTATTCAGTTTACATACTTTTAGACTGACTAAGTCTCATCTGACACAACTTGGTCTTTTAAAAGCAGAGTTGCAAAGAATGTTACCTGGAACATTCCTGGATGTCCAATTCCAAAACAAATTAGAGTCTAATGAAACTCATCCAAAATAAATTTTTTATTTCTAAACCAAGATTAAACTATGAAGAAAAGACAGTCAGCTTCCCACTTGCAATTGTTTTTGTTAGTTTGGTTGGTTTGCACTTAATATAGAAACACAGAATCATGGAAGAGTTTGGGCTGGAAGGGACCTTCAAAGGTCATCCAGCCCAATGCCCCTGCAATGAGCAGGTATGTCTTCAACTAGATCAGGTTGCCCAGAACCATCCAACCTGGCTGTGAATGTCTCCAGGGATGGTGCATCCACCACCTCTCTGGGCAACCTGTGCCAGTATTCTACCACCTACATTGTAAAGAATTTCTTCCTCACATCTGGCCTGAATCTCCCTTCTTTCAGTTTAAAACCAGCACCCCTCGTCCTGTCACAGCAGGCCATTCTGGGCAACCTGTGCCAGTATTCTACCACCTACATTGTAAAGAATTTCTTCCTCACATCTGGCCTGAATCTCCCTTCTTTCAGTTTAAAACCAGCACCCCTCGTCCTGTCACAGCAGGCCATTGCTAAAAAGCCTCTCCCCATCTTTCTTATAGGCCCCTTTTAAGAACTGAAAGGCTCCAATAAGGTCTCCCTGGAGTCTTCTCTTCTCCAGGCTGAACAACCCCAACTCCCATGGCATATCCTCATAGGAGAAGTGCTTCAGCCCTCTGATCATTTCTGTAGCCCCTCTCTGGCTCCTCTCCAATGGGTCCATGTCATTCCTGTGCTGAGGACTCCAGAGCTGGACGCAGCACTCCACATGGGGTCTCACCAGAGCAGAGCGGAGGAGCAGAATCATCTCCCTTGACCTGCTGCCACGCTCCTTTGCATGCAGCCCAGGATACAATTGGCCTTCTGGGCTGCAGGCGCACACTGCCAGCTCATGTCCAATCCTTCACCCACCAGTACCCCCAAGTCCTTTTCCTCAGAGGTACCCTCAATCCCTTCATCCCTCAGCCTGTATCAATACCAGGGGCTGCCCCAACCCAGGTGCGGTATCCTGCAGTTGGCCTTGTTGAACTTCATGAGGTTCACATGGGCCCACCTCTTGAGCCTGTCCAAGTCTCTCTGGATGGCATCTGGTCCCTCAGGGGTGTCAAAGTGCACCACTCAACGGTCTACTTAATATTTAATTATAGTCTTCCCCGTTCAGTTTGAATAGTGACAAACAGACCACAACTAAACTTTCTCATAACATGCACCGAGCATGACCTCTTATGCTATGAAAAGTTTAAAATCTTAAAAAGGTAACAACAGTGTCTGTATTCTGCATATAACAGGCAGTATTCCTTGCAAATCTGGTCTGATGATTTCCTTTATGTATGTAGTTGGTTTTGGTAGGTTTTTTTTTTAAACACCGAAATATACTAAATTCAAGGAACCAAATGCTCATACTGCTTTGACAGGCAGTAAAGTACTGTATTTTCAAAACATCAGCATGTGCAGAAATGCCACTGCTCCTTAATGGAACCACAAGAGATTCTGAAGTCTCTGTTCAGTCAGAACACTCTATATTCACTAGTATTTCACAAAAAATTCACAGCGACAGATTCACATCTTCCTACCGCATATTTATGAGAAAACATTCTTCTAACTAACTTTTTCAAAGGATTCCACAACACCTTTAAAAATACTAAGCAATCTGGAAAATCTGATAACCTTTTCCATGCTTATACAAGAGACTGCAAGTTTACACATAAAGTTAATCTGTGATTCAAATGCATCATCTTCTGCACTAAGAAAACTCTTTGTCGTTTCCTGGCAATATTTATTCAGACTTTAAAAATAGCTTTCACAAAAATATAAAGATATTGTCTTAAAGCATATTTCAAGATTTGGGGGGGGGGGGGAAGTAAGTCTCCAGATTTTATGATCTTTTTCTGACATGCTTTGCCTTTAGAGGATCTAAAAGTTGCCCTGCCACGAGGTAAAGCCACTAACACATAGAATCATAGAATGGTTATGATGGGAAAGGACCGTAGGCCCATCTAGTTCCAACCATGCTGCCAGAGGCAGGGATACCTTCCACTAGACCAGGTTGCTCAAGGCCTTGAATACTGCCAGGAATGCAGCATTCACAACTTCCTTCAACAGCCTGTTCCAACACCTCACCACTCTCATACTAAAGAACTTCTTCCTCATATCCAACCTGAATCTTCCCTTTTTCAGTTTAAACACATTACTCTTTGTACCATCACTACAGTCCCTGATGAAGAGTCCCTCCCTGGCATCCTTGTAGGCCACCTTCAGATAATGGAAGGCTGCTATGAGGATGCTTCTCCTGCCTTCGTATGGGAGGTGCTGCAGCCCCTTTATCATCCTTCTGGTCCTCCTCTGGACTTGCTTGAACAGCTCTGTGTCATTCTTAAGTTGGGGACACCAGAACTGTATGCACTATTCCAAGTGGGGTCTCACAAGAGTGGAGTAGAGGGGTAGAATCCCTTCCTTCGACCACATCACATTTATGGTGCAGTCCAGAACAACAACAGAACAACTGCTCATAAAAGAAACAACTACAAAAAATTACTCCAGATGAATTTTCCTGTTTTAGCATCTGTACATTAATATCACACAAGGGTTTTTAATGTATCAAAATTTGAATGCATATGGTAGCAAACAGGAAAAGAAGGAAGATGACAAACTAACGTATCAATGACAAAACTTACGCTAAAAAAAGTAGCGAAGCAAAGATAACATTTGCTTACAGTTTTCACTTGGCAAACCAGTGCATGTATCAGCAATTCAGCAAGAGTCCATGAACTTTTGCACAAGGAAAGAGTAATGATCCTGGCTTGCTTTGCCTGCATGACACACAGGGACCAAGCGGACAGAAGCTGTTAGTATGAGGATTTTAATCTTTTCAGTCTGGTTCGGAACTAAGACAAATAATCATGATTTCTAAGTTCTTCACAACAGAATGAAGTCTTTGCCCTAGCTTATTTCACAAAGAAAGCTTCGTGGAGTGTTGTCAGAAAAGCAGAATGAACAATACACCATAGAAACCTCAGC